GTCACAGGACCCAGCAAGCCTAGAAGTCGGGCGTGGGCTCTGGACATGAGGCACACCGTTGACGCCGAGGGCCTGGCTGAGTGGACTTTCCTCTTTCCCGGTTACGGTGAAAGCCAGTCCACGGGTCCTGGTCGCTGAGTTCCTCCCCTAGTGTTTCCCGAGCACCTGCCGTGCGTGACGCGTTGTGCTGGGCGCCCGTCGCACCCTGCGGGACTCTCAGCCCAGTGGGGTACCCGAGGCACGTCCGCAAATAGCTCTGTGTACCACAGGGAGGGGAAGCGAACGGGTCACGGGGGTTCACACAGAGAAGCCATCACTTCTACTTGGGGATGAGCCAAGAACAACTTTTCACGTCTTTACAGGAACTTGAAAGTTGGGGAGCTTTGGGGGCTGAGAGGGGTGTGAGGGCTTTCCGGACACGAGGGCTGGGTGGACAGGGGACCCTTTGGGAAGGCCGAGAGGTCAGCCTGGCTCTGAGTTCGGGCAAAGGGGGTGGGGCAGAGGGTGAGAAGGGACACTGGCGACCAGCGCGTGATGGGACATGGATGCCAGGCGAGGAGCTTGGACCGCATCTGGCTGGAGAAGGGGGTCCCTGCTGGTAGGGCAGACCGGAAGGGGGGCTGTGGCAGGCAGAGGCTGAGATGGCTGTTCAGCTGTCCCCGGAGGAGAGCAGCCCAGAGCCCAGGAGTCTAGTGCAGTCCAGGTTCTGGGAAGACAGGAATGGGGGCAAAGAGAGGTGGGAGGGTGGGCCCCGGGCAGGGAGAGGGCAGCCCGCTCTTCATGTAGAAGAGGGAAGGAGGACAGTGGTGCCTAAGGGCAGTGCACTCGGGTTCCGTGGGGGCTTCTGGAGAACCCACAGACAGCCAGATGTGAACATCTGGTCAGCCCAGAGTGCAGAAGGCCACCTGTGACAGGCTATTCCCATCAGCGCTTTTCTGTCCCCCCGCCCCACCCTGAACCACCGGAGGCCAGAAACTGCACTGGCCAGACGGGTACCTGGAGGAACTTTAACTCATCGGGCTAGAAGTTTCCACTAGTGACTGGGACTATTACACGTGTTACCTAAGTGACACTGTCTGCTACTTCGTGTGACCGCAGGACTTCCTGTTACCTTCATCTCATGACCAGAAACATCCGGGAACCTGCCTGAGTTTTCACGCAGGGGCCGGAGCAGGTGTAAAAGGGAGCTGGAGAAAGCTGGGTTTCAGATTCGTGCGTGGCCCTCCACGCCGCATAGCTGGTCACACAGGAGGGAGAAGCCTGGCAGGGGGCAGGTGGCCCCTTGTGCTCCGGCTCTTGTCCCAGAAGAGCAGGAAACAGGAATGGATGCTCGATGCCAGTCACTCACACCGCAGCATGCTGCCTCTGCACGAGAGTGTTTCAGGGGACCACAGCCTTGGGCTGAAGACACTGATCTGGAATTTCGAATGTCACAGGCCAGCAGGGGTGGCGGCGATGGCGAGGCCTCCAGAGCTTCGGCCTGGAAAAGCGGGCGCCTCCCTTGCAGTGCGCCCGGGGCAAGAAGAAACGGTTTAGGACGCGGCTTGCTCATTAACCCGTCTAGGGAGGCAAAATCTGGGGTCAACCAAGTTATGTTCCCAACCCAAAAGAGAGAAACAAAGACACCAGAACCTAAGATCTATTTAGCCACCTTCCCGGGAGGCTTCTGACAGCACCGAACTGTTTGTGTTGGAGAAGCCGCGTGGAGCTAAGTGAGCTGTAGCTTAAACACCCGGGGGGACCGCGTCCTGCTGGCTGCTCCGTCCCATCCTGTCTGTGGCGCAGCTGCGCCCTGGGTGCTGTCACTGCAGACCACACCATTGTTTGCTCTTTACGCTCACTGGTAACGGTCAAGAGGAAGAACACGGCCGTCTTATCCCCTACGGTTCTTCAAATGGGCATTCTGCTGGCGGTGTCTGAGTTTAAATCCTGGAAACCTCTCTTCTACACAATTGACCGTTTCCCTAACCATTAACGAAATAAAAGGCCACCTAGGGTAGATTCTTTTAGACTAAAAAAAATATTTTAGAGCTAATAAATGTGACTTGAAATCCAGCAGGAAGTCCCAAGGTCAGTTTTATGCCTTCAGTGTGGACTGTTCCTTCTCCTTGTGGTACACCAGCACGTATTCAAGGCTTCATACAGGGCAGGGTTGCTTTTTGTATGACAACTGGAGTATCAAAGATAATGTCATGTTTTGTGATACAGATGCTTATTTATTTATTTATTTATCCTCACCTGGGAATATTTTTATATTTATCTTCAGAGTGGGAGGGAGGGGGAGAGAGAGAAAAACATTGATATGAGAGAGACACATCGATTGGTTGCCACCCACACGGCCCTGGTTGGAGTTGGGGACGAACTGCAACTGAGGTAATTACCTTAGCGGGAATTGAACCTGGGACTCCCTGATCCTCAGGCCGATGCTCTAACTGCTGAGCCAAACTGGCCAGGGCAACACAACTGCTTTTTAATGACCTGCTAGAGTCTGAGTTCCTTGATAATTAACTCCAGTTGCTGTCACAGAAATTTATTTAATCAATAGACTTGAAGCAGTTGATCTTTAATACCAGCTCGTCATACATGTTCCATGTCGCAATCCACATGTGCCCCGCTTAATGTAACGACATGCCCCGAAGAGGCGTCTACCCGTCGCCCATGGCATCGCACCGGGTCATGGTACTGGGAGGTGGTCCCATTGTGGAGTCCAAGTTTGATGCAGTATGAACATGATTTTTATTGTCACTTTATATTGAATCTCTAAAGGGAAGATGGTCATTTGCTGACCAGACTTTTATTCCCCACATGTCTCGAGCTGAAATGCAAGTTCTGCATGTGGCCACGTGAGAGGGAGGCACCCTGAAGGGCGGGTTAGAACCTTCTCTCCTTGTCAGGACTCCCCGATGCAGGGAAGTATCCCCTTTGCCGGTCTAGGAGTCTATACCGAGTGCAATTGGCCAGTTTCTTCAGGGCTTATTTAACTTGAAGCTTTTCAGTGCCTAGAATCATAAAATCAGATTTGTGTTAATTATGCTAGTATTTGCCTGAAACACTGCAGGAAAAGCAATGAGTCTTGTTTTGTTTTAATCCTCACCCAGGAATATGTTTTTATTGATTTAAAAGAGAGAAGAAGGGAGAGAAACATCAATGTGAGAGAGAAACATCAATCGGTTGCCTTCCATATGCAGCCCGATCAGAGATCGAACCTGCAACTTAGGTGTGTGCCTGACCGGGAGTCGAGCCCACAGCCTTTTGGTGCATGGGATGACACTCCAACCAACTGAGCTACCCAGCCAGGGCAACAATGATGTTTTCTACACAGAGCAAAATTAGTTGGATTTAAAAAGGACTTTTCATCATTTAAGTGATGACGCATATTGTTCTACAGCAAGTTGTTTATATCTTCTCGCTCTCTTTGCCGGATTCGCTTTCCCATGAGACTCTGAGGATGTTCAAAGGGTCACAGGGATGCGGGCATGACAGTGGCGGTCTGTGGTTTCCCATGGACCCCACGAAGAGAGGTCACAGCTGGCAGCCCAGCCAAGGGTGACACAGTGCTGCTTTCTGCTTGTTCAGTTTTGAGGTGGCTGGCGTGGGGGAGGGAGGACCTGAGGGAAATGCCATGTCTTTTCGTCTCTCTGAATCACGTGACTCTTTTGGAGGCCACCAGGCCCGCCTAGTCGTGTTTGGGGTCACCTTCCACCTCCTTCGCGTTGTTGGGAAGTCTCTGGGTTTCTTCGAGCAGGGGAGTCAGGAGAGGCCTGGGGTCTCCTGCTCACGGTGACCACTCCAGATGCCCGCATCACCCTGCCCTGAACACCCGGGGCTCCACCAGACCAGTGTCTGGTCTCCACAGAGGGGACCGTGGCCTGTGGTCCTCGAGGCCTGGAGGTCCTCTTGCCATCCCACCAGGGACCTCCCCACCTCCACAGCAAGTCCTGCATGGGAGTGGGGTGCTGGTCCCCAGTACCCCCTGTTCACCTCCTCATCTTGAACAGCTTTCCAGTCCTTTCTTCTCCAGCCCCTTTTCATCCTCGGTGGGCCCTCTTGGAGGTGCTTTCCACTCGAGTTATAACTGATTCCGTGGTGTCTTCCTCGACACCCATGATGTCACCGAGCAGGTGGCAATAGACTGACCGCGGCCATTGCAGATCCTTCACTCAGCTCCAGGCATTGAGCTAGTTCTCCTCAGCCTCCTGCCCCCGCGGTGGCATCAAGAGGCAGTCATGGGGGATCAGGGCATGGTGCCTAACGCCTTCCTGGCTCCTGGGTCCCCAGAGCCAGCTGGCATAGACTTGCGTCTGTCCCAAGGCCCCCTTCCCTGACTCACCCCCGTCCTGGCTGCGTGTCAGCTCATGGGCTGGAGGACAGGGAAGGGTTTCATTGAGTGCATTGGGCCGTGTTCATCAACGGTAGCTCAGATGCCTTCTTGAAGAGCAGGAGATTATAACATCCCAGCCGCCAAAATCCCTTGAATCCTTTTTGGACACTGGCCTGCAAACTCATTAAGCTCTTTTGAATAGATTAACTCTGAATAGTGAAAAGTTGTTGTTGGGTGTTTGTGTTTTGCCTTTTGAGAGTGAATCTGCTGTTCTTGGAATGCTGCAGCTGGTCGGCCCAGAGAGGCGAGGCGCTGTGAGCGGGTGTCTCCTGGGCAGCTGCAGGGGAGGGTGGGCCGCACGACCTCCTGAGCTGCCTGCTGTGCAGGCCTGTGCCCCTGAGGGTTGTTTCCTCCTTCTGCCAGCTCCCTTGCGGGTGGCCCTGAGGGCAGAGTCCTGCCTTGTTGTGGCTGGGAAGGAGGGTTAACTCGTCCACAGGAGGGGATGGTGGACCTCCCCAAATGTAAATGCTTAGCATAGATGAATTCTTAATGGAAATCAATTTCGCTTCTCCAAAGAAACCTTTAGCTCCTTGGGAAATACGGACGGTTCACTGCTGGTTCCTAACATTATTTCTCCTTTCTCTCCTTCCTCCCCTGTGCCTTCCCAACCTGTTGGCAGCTGCCCATTTCTAGCAGTGCAAATCACCCCTGCCATTCCCGTGGTTGGTGGCATCCTGTTCTTCTTTGTGATGGGGACGCTGCTTCGGACCAGCTTCAGCGACCCTGGAGTCCTTCCGCGAGCCACACCCGATGAAGCCGCCGACCTGGAAAGGCAAATAGGTAACCCTGAAGGTCTGCCCTTGGCCACCGGCCCCTTCCCACCTGCGCTCAGCCACAGTGCGGGAGGCCAGGCCGAGGGGCCGCGCAGGAGGGGCAGGGCGCCGGACGGTGACGAGTGACCGGGGAGGGGAGTCCCCGAAGTCTTCATTCCCTCTGCCGGCAGGATGACCTGAGTAGGAGGTGGGATGGAAAGTGGTCAGAGGTAAGGCGGAGGACCCGTGTCCCAGAGGCGTGTGGTGCCGCGGCCATGCTCCGCCCCGGAGCTGTTTGCTGATGTTTCATGTGGCCCAGGTGTCGAAGTCGGTCCTGAAGGCCTGTGGTCGCCTGGGCTCTGTTCCCATGTCTAAGCATCGCAGTCTCATTCTGGTGTCCATAGTGTAAGCCTGGAAAGGTTGTGTCTGGGACCATTGTCTTATTTCTGCAGCCTGGGGCCCAGAATTCCTTCCTTACAGCATCACAAAAACACGAAGGTATTTATCTATCTATATCTGTATCTATATCTATATCTATATCTGTATCTATATCTATATCTATATCTATATCTATATCTATATCTATATCTATATCTATACCTATTATCCATATCTGTATCTGTATCTGTATCTATATCTATACTATATCGGTATCTATATCTATATCTATACTATATCAGTATCTATAACTATATCTATATCTATACTATATCGGTATCTAATCCATATCTATATATATACTGAGATGAATAGCTTCATTTTTCCTTAGATATTGATATCCTAGGATAAAAAGTTTGCTGCAATCCATTTTAAAGCCGTTCAAATAAATTCCAGTCCCTCACACACAAACTTTGAAAGTCCTGTTTTTGTAATTAAAGGCGAGCTTTTTCTTGCCCTGGGAGTGTCTGTGAATGTGCAGCTTTGTTGTGACGTGGTGGTGGCTGGGCAAGGGTGGCAGAGGGCAGTGATGGCTCTGAAGGCAGGTGAGGCGCGAGAAGCCACGGACAGACGGCGCTCTCCCTGTTCCTCCGGCGCCCCGGGCTTCCATGCCCAGCCCCCCTCGGCTGAGGGATCCCCACTTCCACAGCGCGAGGAAGTGCGAATGTAGGCCTTAGTAGACAGCGCCTGCCCTGGTCTGCCGTCCCCACGCGCTGGAGCACAGCTCTGTCCCTCTCTGAGCACCTGACTCCACCCTTCGCCCGTTCTCATGGGAGAGCGGTGAAGGAGTTGGTAGTGGGAGTGTGTAGTGAGGGGTCAGATGGGCAGCAGCCTTCTTGTGTCCTGAGTAGGGAAAGGGGAAGGAAGATCCCTTTCTTCCTCTGGTGATACATCTCTTTCTTAGTCATTGCATCTTGGGACTTCAAGACGGCATTGCCCGGCCAGAGGGGTGCAGTTGGTTGAGTATCATCCCTGGTACCCGAAGGCTGCTGGTTCGATTCCCAGTCAGGGCACATACCTGAGTTGTGGGTTTGATCCCCACTCAGGGAGCATATGGAAGACAACCGATTGGTGTTTCTCTCTCACTTGTCTCTCTCCCCCACCCCCTTCCTCTCTCTAACTGTGTTCCTGGGTGAGGATTAAAAAAAAAAAAAGACAGGACATTAATTCCTAATTTAAGGCTTCACATTTATAGCACATTAATAACGTGTGAAGGCTGTCATTGAACTTAATCACTTCTAAGCAGCCTGTGGGGAAAAGGTTAAACGGGAGAGAGTGGCCAGCCAGAGCCTCGAATCCGGGTCTCCTGGGTCTCAGCCCTTGTTCCTGCCAGGTTGTCTTGACCGAGGGGAGAAAGGGAGATGGGGCCCAGGGTCCCTCCAGGAGTAGAACTAGACCTATAGAAACCGCGTCGTCTGTGCCCATACCCCAGGGGCAGGTGGCTCCAGAGACCTCTGGTCCGGGAGCGCGCTCAGAGCCCAGCTGCCCAGGCCGGGCAGCGCATTCTCTGCCTGGGACCCTGTGTGCTCTCCGCCTCCCCGTGCGGGGCAGGCGCCGAGCCAGCATGTCCCGGCCTGTGCTTACAGGGCGAGGGTCCGAGTGCCCGGGAGTTCGTTCTCTGGCAGAGTGCAGTTTCGTTCTCCTTGTGCATGCTGAGGAAGCTGAGCAGTGCACTCAAGTTCATTTCAGGCATTTGTTTTCGCTCACAGTGTTTTGCCCAGGGCAGTATATTTCAACACACATGTTTTTTTTATAACCAGCTTTGCCCTCCTGTGCCCTGCAGATGTAGGTTCTGTGAAGGAACGAGGTAGGGTGAAGGAAGAAGCCAAATTGTTTCCCGTGTAGGAAAGGGGCTGCCGAGACAGGCGCGCAGAAGAGACTCGCTCGGCGCGTCCTGTCCCCGAGGGGCGTGACAGAGACTGACACAGTGGTCCAAAACGCTCACTTCACAGACCTGGAGTGCGCTGTCTTGAGGTGTGGTGTAATGGAAGTGACCCGCTGTTAGAGCGTAGCGATGGCTGTGCAAGCCAATCAGTGCACATTGATCATGGATGACTGCTATGGTGCCTTAGTTATACATCTGTCAAAAATCAAAAGGAGAAAGAGAGGAAGGGAGCGAGGAGGAAGATGGACTCGCCCCTCCCAAGCTGTGGGACGTCAGGCTGGTGGTGCGCTTTCGTCTTCTCACCTGTAAGGGGGACAGGGACGCACGTTCTCGAAGGTTCTTGTCAGGGTTAAGCTCGGTAAATGGCAGTGTTTTTTAAAGAGAAATGCTCCTCTTTTCCCACCCAGTTCTGTCTTCACCTTCTGCAAACAGATTCTCGCAGAGCAGCCTGCAGCGTGCTCGGGATACACGGTGGAGCTGGTGGGGTGCGGGGCACACTCCCGTACGGAGTCCTCCCGTTATCTCTCGACCGGAAAATAAGATAATGTTCCAGGGAAGTCTTAGCACATTTGTTTTGTACTAACTAAAATATGAAAAATGAGATGTGGAAACTTTTATTATTAGGGTTATTAATTTTAATTTCCCATAGTATACCTCTACTTATAGGAGCCCATAATGGCCACTTGAAACTGGCCGTCGGAGTGATGTGTTCAAGATTTGCCAGGCATCTGAACAGCTTCCCCCATCGTGAGCTTTCTGGCGAGGCGGCTGTGTGTCTCAGAGTCTGTGTCCCGGGTCTCCTACAAGGCTTTTGAAACCCCTTACACGTCTTTTCGCTGAAAGAACTGTCCCAGGAACTTACGTTGCAGCCAAGAACGGCAGCAGAGGTCCGGGGGTCTCGCCGGGGTCACTGAGTCCTGCTTAGAAACTAGATTGGGAAACTTTTTTTTCACTCAGGGACAATCAGATACTAAGCAGCTGCTTTGGGATCAAAGCATTTTGTTTCCATCGGGATAGACCTCTGCAGGGGTCAAAACGGGAGAGCAGACTACCGCTGCCTCATCTCCTCCCAGCCCTGCAGTCAAGTCTCAGGGTGCGACAGCCAGGAAGTCACTGGGCTGACATGTGACCTCGTCTGCCTGTTGGGCTCCAAAAACAATGCTAGTTACTAAGGAAACTCCCGTGTCAAGGTGACCCTGACATCAATAAGTGATCTTGCCTGGTGAGGGTAGCACTGGATCAAAGGAAGCTGAGTGGTCTTTATAAAGTCACCTTAGCTGTGGCAGAATAAGAACAGTTATTCAGCCCTGGCCGGTGTGGCTCAGTGGTTGAGCATCGACCCTGCACCAAGAGGTCGCCGGTTCCATTCCCGGTCAGGGCACATGCCCAGGTTGTGGGCCTGATCCCCAGTGGGGGGCATGCAGGAGGCGGCCAGTCGATGTTCTCTCTCATTAATGTTTCCATCTCTCTCTCCCTCTCCCTTTCTCTCTCTCTCTGAAAAAAATAAAATAAAATAACAGTTATTCACTTTGCACCTTTGGCTGCCCGGCTCGAATACCACTCTGCTGGACACAGAGTACACGTGTGTCCCTTCTGTCTCTGTCTCCCTCTGTCTCTTTCCCTCCCTCTGTGTTTTTGTCCCTCTCTTCCCCAGCCCTTCCCCTCCGCCCCCTCCTCACCCTCCTCCTCCTTCTCCCTCCCCCCACCCCCACTCGTTTGGTCAGATTCTCATCTGGCAATTTTTCTTATAGTTCACAGAACCAGTCGCCATTTCTAAGACTGAAGTCTGTCTCTCACCGTTCCCTAGATTAGTACCTGGACCGACTCTCGCCTAGAGGAGAGGTCAGGAAGCGTGGCCTGCGGCTCCGGGTGCGGGGAGGCCCTGGCCCGGGCAGCAGCGCTGCCGCACCGTCCGGAGAGCACAGCCTGGACCACTGCCTCGGCAGAGGGTGATGTCACCACCTTCGGCTGCCAGGCTTTCCCCCAAAGACATCTTAATTCTGTGTTTCAGAGTAGAAACATTCTAATTGCAGTTTTAACAACACTGATGGGTTTTTGTTGAAGAAAATACTCTGAGAACACTGTGAAGCCAATTTAAGACTTTAGTCAATTTTCTCTATGGCAAAGCTAAATTATTTCCAATTTTTCCCCATCTGCATTTTTATTTTTCTAAAATTGTTTTTATCAGAGTAATTTCTTTTTTCCACATAAAATTTATAACTTTTTTTTTTTTAATATCACAAATGTTGCCATTGTGAATTTTCTTACAGAACTATTATTTCTACTAAGACAGAATTTCCTGGTGATTTAATGTTTTACCATGTACATTTTTTAAGCCATTATGGATTTCTTTTTGTGTTGGTGTTTTTACTGGTAGTATTTACCGTAAAATTGCTTTAAATTTTAATGGCTTCTTTTTTTTTTTTGCCTCGTGATGATTCTGCTGCCTGTGGTTGATCTGTGACTAACTTTGTGTATTGCCCTCTCGATGTGCACACTGCTGAATGTGCTTTAAAAATGGCAGCATTGCCCGGCCGGTGTGGCTCACTGGTTGAGCGTCGACCCATGCACCTAGAGGTGGCCGGTTCGATTCCCTGTCAGGGCACATGCCCAGGGTGTAGGCCAAATCCCCAGTGGGGGGCGTGCAGGAGATGGCCAGTCCATGTTCTCTCTCATCGATGTTTCTATCTCTTCCTTTCCCTTCC